GTCAGGATGTAAACATGTGTCAGGATGTAAACATGTGTCAGTATGTAAACATGTGTCAGGATGTAAACACGGGGCCTGTTCCTTTAAGATGCACAGAGAGATGAGTCGCACACATTTGTGTGAAGTCGTTTATTACAAAACAGTAAAACAAACATGAGGCCACACAATGAAGCAATGTGTCGGGGCCGATCACAGGGACACGCCCTGTACCTGTGTGTATGAAGTGTCCATGAACGGGCCGATCACAGGGACACGCCCTGTACCTGTGTGTATGAAGTGAGCATGAACGGGCCCTGTCCCTGTGTTTATAAAGTGTCCATGAACGGGCCGATCACAGGGACGCGCCCTGTACCTGTGTGTATGAAGTGTCCATGAACGGGCCGATCACAGGGACGCGCCCTGTACCTGTGTGTATGAAGTGTCCATGAACGGGCCGATCACAGGGACGCACCATGTACCTGTGTGTATGAAGTGTCCATGAACGGGCCGATCACAGGGACGCGCCCTGTCCCTGTGTGTATGAAGTGTCCATGAACGGGCCGATCACAGGGACGCGCCCTGTACCTGTGTGTATGAAGTGTCCATGAACGGGCCGATCACAGGGACGTGCCCTGTCCCTGTGTTTATAAAGTGTCCATGAACGGGCCGATCACAGGGACGCGCCCTGTACCTGTGTGTATGAAGTGTCCATGAACGGGCCGATCACAGGGACGCGCCATGTACCTGTGTGTATGAAGTGTCCATGAACGGGCCGATCACAGGGACGCACCATGTACCTGTGTGTATGAAGTGTCCATGAACGGGCCGATCACAGGGACGCGCCCTGTACCTGTGTGTATGAAGTGTCCATGAACGGGCCGATCACAGGGACGCGCCATGTACCTGTGTGTATGAAGTGTCCATGAACGGGCCGATCACAGGGACGCGCCCTGTACCTGTGTGTATGAAGTGTCCATGAACGGGCCGATCACAGGGACGCGCCATGTACCTGTGTGTATGAAGTGTCCATGAACGGGCCGATCACAGGGACGCGCCATGTACCTGTGTGTATGAAGTGTCCATGAACGGGCCGATCACAGGGACGCGCCCTGTACCTGTGTGTATGAAGTGTCCATGAACGGGCCGATCACAGGGACGCGCCATGTACCTGTGTGTATGAAGTGTCCATGAACGGGCCGATCACAGGGACGCACCATGTACCTGTGTGTATGAAGTGTCCATGAACGGGCCGATCACAGGGACGCGCCCTGTACCTGTGTGTATGAAGTGTCCATGAACGGGCCGATCACAGGGACGCGCCATGTACCTGTGTGTATGAAGTGTCCATGAACGGGCCGATCACAGGGACGCGCCCTGTACCTGTGTGTATGAAGTGTCCATGAACGGGCCGATCACAGGGACACGCCCTGTACCTGTGTGTATGAAGTGTCCATGAACGGGCCGATCACAGGGACGCGCCCTGTACCTGTACCTGTGTGTATGAAGTGTCCATGAACGGGCCGATCACAGGGACGCACCATGTACCTGTGTGTATGAAGTGTCCATGAACGGGCCGATCACAGGGACGCGCCCTGTACCTGTGTGTATGAAGTGTCCATGAACGGGCCGATCACAGGGACGCGCCCTGTACCTGTGTGTATGAAGTGTCCATGAACGGGCCGATCACAGGGACGCGCCCTGTACCTGTGTGTATGAAGTGTCCATGAACGGGCCGATCACAGGGACGCGCCCTGTACCTGTGTGTATGAAGTGTCCATGAACGGGCCGATCACAGGGACGCGCCCTGTACCTGTGTGTATGAAGTGTCCATGAACGGGCCGATCACAGGGACGCGCCCTGTACCTGTGTGTATGAAGTGTCCATGAACGGGCCGATCACAGGGACGCGCCCTGTACCTGTGTGTATGAAGTGTCCATGAACGGGCCAATCACAGGGACGCACCATGTACCTGTGTGTATGAAGTGTCCATGAACGGGCCGATCACAGGGACGCGCCCTGTACCTGTGTGTATGAAGTGTCCATGAACGGGCCGATCACAGGGACGCGCCCTGTACCTGTGTGTATGAAGTGTCCATGAACGGGCCGATCACAGGGACGCGCCCTGTACCTGTGTGTATGAAGTGTCCATGAACGGGCCGATCACAGGGACGCGCCCTGTACCTGTACCTGTGTGTATGAAGTGTCCATGAACGGGCCGATCACAGGGACGCACCATGTACCTGTGTGTATGAAGTGTCCATGAACGGGCCGATCACAGGGACGCGCCCTGTACCTGTGTGTATGAAGTGTCCATGAACGGGCCAATCACAGGGACACGCCAAGAATTCAATCCTTTATTTAAACATTTCATAAATATTTACACACAACACATTTTTCAAAATGTTCAAAAGCATCAGAGCCAAAGACACTTCAAAGTCTGATGTTTCGTCTGAAGTTTGAATGTTTTGTTTGAAGTTTGAATGTTTTGTTTGAAGTTTGAATGTTTTGTTTGAAGTTTGAATGTTTTGTTTGAAGTTTGAATGTTTCGTTTGAAGTTTGAATGTTTCGTTTGAAGTCGACGGTCATAGAATAAAAACATTTGATCAAAGTTTGTGATGTTCAGATTCAGTCTGAAGACCAGAGAGAGAGAGACCAGAGAGAGAGACCAGAGAGAGAGACCAGAGAGAGAGACCAGAGAGAGACCAGAGAGAGAGACCAGAGAGAGACCAGAGAGAGAGAGACCAGAGAGAGACCAGAGAGAGACCAGATAGAGAGAGACCAGAGAGGGACCAGAGAGAGAGAGACCAGAGAGAGAGACCAGAGAGAGACCAGAGAGAGACCAGAGAGAGAGAGACCAGAGAGAGAGACCAGAGAGAGACCAGAGAGAGACCAGAGAGAGACCAGAGAGAGACCAGAGAGAGAGACCAGAGAGAGACCAGAGAGAGGGACCAGAGAGAGACCAGAGAGAGAGACCAGAGAGAGAGACCAGAGAGAGAGACCAGAGAGAGAGACCAGAGAGAGAGACCAGAGAGAGAGACCAGAGAGAGAGAGAGAGACCAGAGAGAGACCAGAGAGAGAGAGAGACCAGAGAGAGAGACCAGAGAGAGCAGAGAGAGACCAGAGAGAGAGACCAGAGAGAGAGACCAGAGAGAGACCAGAGCGAGAAAGACCAGAGAGAGAGACCAGAGAGAGAGACCAGAGAGAGAGACCAGAGAGAGACCAGAGAGAGACCAGAGAGAGACCAGAGAGAGACCAGAGAGAGACCAGAGAGAGAGACCAGAGAGAGACCAGAGAGAGGGACCAGAGAGAGACCAGAGAGAGAGACCAGAGAGAGAGACCAGAGAGAGAGACCAGAGAGAGAGACCAGAGAGAGAGACCAGAGAGAGACCAGAGAGAGAGAGACCAGAGAGAGACCAGAGAGAGAGAGAGACCAGAGAGAGCAGAGAGAGACCAGAGAGAGAGACCAGAGAGGGAGACCAGAGAGAGAGACCAGAGAGAGACCAGAGCGAGAAAGACCAGAGAGAGAGACCAGAGAGAGAGACCAGATAGAGAGAGACCAGAAAGAGAGAGACCAGAAAGAGAGAGACCAGAGAGAGAGACCAGAAAGAGAGAGACCAGAGAGAGAGACCAGAGAGAGAGAGAGACCAGAGAGAGAGAGACCAGAGAGAGAGACCAGAGAGAGAGACCAGAGAGAGAGACCAGAGAGAGAGACCAGAGAGAGAGAGACCAGAGAGAGAGAGACCAGAGAGAGACCAGACCAGAGAGAGAGACCAGAGAGGGACCAGAGAGAGAGAGACCAGAGAGAGAGACCAGAGAGAGAGACCAGAGAGCGACCAGAGAGAGACCAGAGAGAGACCAGAGAGAGAGACCAGAAAGAGAGACTAGAGAGGGACCAGAGAGAGACCAGGGAGAGACCAGAGAGAGAGACCAGAGAGAGACCAGAGAGAGAGACTAGAGAGGGACCAGAGAGAGACCAGAGAGAGACCAGGGAGAGACCAGAGAGAGAGACCAGAGAGAGACCAAGAGAGACCAGGGAGAGACCAGGGAGAGACCAGAGAGAGAGACCAGAGAGAGACCAGAGAGAGAGACCAGAGAGAGACCAGAGAGAGACCAGAGAGAGACCAGAGAGAGACCAGAGAGAGACCAGAGAGAGACCAGAGAGGGACCAGAGAGAGAGAGACCAGAGAGAGAGACCAGAGAGAGAGACCAGAGAGCGACCAGAGAGAGACCAGAGAGAGACCAGAGAGAGAGACCAGAGAGAGACCAGAGAGAGAGACCAGAGAGAGAGACTAGAGAGGGACCAGAGAGAGACCAGGGAGAGACCAGGGAGAGACCAGAGAGAGAGACCAGAGAGAGACCAGAGAGAGAGACCAGAGAGAGACCAGAGAGAGACCAGAGAGAGACCAGGGAGAGACCAGGGAGAGACCAGAGAGAGAGACCAGAGAGAGACCAGAGAGAGAGACCAGAGAGAGACCAGAGAGGGACCAGAGAGAGACCAGAGAGAGACCAGGGAGAGACCAGAGAGAGAGACCAGAAAGAGACCAGAGAGAGACCAGAGAGAGACCAGGGAGAGACCAGGGAGAGACCAGAGAGAGAGACCAGAGAGAGACCAGAGAGAGAGACCAGAGAGAGACCAGAGAGAGACCAGAGAGAGACCAGAGAGAGACCAGGGAGAGACCAGGGAGAGACCAGAGAGAGACCAGAGAGAGACCAGAGAGAGACCAGAGAGAGACCAGAGAGTGTGTGTCTGTGTGTGTGCGTGTGTGTGTGAGTGAGTGAGTGTGTGTGTCTGTGTGAGTGAGTGTGTGTGTCTGTGTGTGTGTGTGTCTGTGTGAGTGAGTGTGTGTGTCTGTGTCTGTGTGAGTGAGTGTGTGTGTGAGTGAGTGTGTGTGTCTGTGTGATTGAGTGTGTGTGTCTGTGTGTGTGTGAGTTTGTGTGTGTGTGTGTGTCTGTGTGAGTGAGTGTGTGTGTGTGTGTGTGTGTGTGTGAGTCACGGTACTGGACAGAGTGTGTCCTTTCTC